GTGTATGTGTGTGAATATGTGTATGGCTATGTGAGTGTCTATATCTGCGTGTGTGTATATCTGTTTGTGTGTGTGTCTGTCTGTCTGTGTCTCTGTGTCTGTCTGTCTCTCTGTGTGTTTGTCTGTGTATGTGTCTGTGTGTGTCTATATGTGTGATTGTGTCTGTGTGTGTCTATATGTGTGTGCGCGTGTCTATGTCTGTGTCTATATGTGTGTCTAAGTGTGTGTCTGTCTGTCTATGTGTGTGTATATTTCTGTGTGTATCTGTGTGTGTGTAGATATCTGTGTATGTGTATCTGTGTGTGTGTCTGTCTATGTGTGTGTGTATATACCTGTGTGTGTGTGTATCTGTGTGTGTGTGTATATATCTGTGCGTGTATATGTCTGTGTGGCTGTGTATGTGTGTGCGTGTGTAGGTAGGTAGGTAGGTAGGTAGGTAGGTAGAGGGGGGGGGGAATAGCTCAGTGGTTTAAGCGTTGGCCTGCTAAACCCAGGGTTGTGAGTTCAATCCTTGAGGGGGCCATTTAGGGATCTGGAGCAAAAATCTGTGTGGGGATTAGTCCTGCTTTGAGCAGTGGGTTGGACTAGAACTTCCTGAGGTCCCTTCCAACCCTGATAGTCTATGATTGTATGATATGTGTGTGTGTATGTCTATATATCTGTGTCTGTCTGTGTGTCTATATATATATCTGTATGTATATGTGTGTTCGTATGTATGTGTGTGTGTGTCTGTGTTTGTGTCACTGTGTGTGTGTGTGTCTGCGTGTATATATATATATATATATATATATATATATATGTGTGTGTGTGTGTGTGTGTGTGTGTATATATATATATAAATATATGTATAATGAAAGCTAAGCTTCTCACAATCACCTGACTCCAGGAGCTGGGGCTTAACCCCCACCCACAAAGTAGCATGAAACTCATGATTAAAATCACAAGAGTGGACACAGTGCTGGACACCTCCCCCTAAGAAAAACCCTAAAAACAGAATAAAAGCTGTGTACATTCAGAAATATTTGTACATGATTCATGGAGGGTAGGTCCATCAATGGCTATTAGCCGGGATGGGCATGGATGATGTCCCTAGCCTCTGTTTGCCAGAAGCTGGGAATGGGTGACAGGGGATGGATCACTTGATCATTACCTGTTCTGTTCATTCCCTCTGGGGCACCTGGCATTGGCCACTGTCGGAAGACAGGATACTGGGCTAGATGGACCTTTGCTCTGATCCAGTGTAGCCGTTCTTAGGTTAACATCTGAAGGTCCTGCTGGAATAGAAAGGGGCAGTAATTTTAAAAAGAGAGACAAGATGGGGGAAGTAATATCTTTTA